AACTTGATTTGTAAGTCTTTCATTAATATTTTTTTTACCAAGAGATAAAAGGAACTAATTCAAAGGCTTGATGTAAAATACAAAGATTTAACAAGTTGTTTATCATTTAGTTCCCAAATGTTAGTTTGTACATATAAATAATTAGTATTGGTAAATGTAAGTTGTTTAAGCAAAACAGAAGAGTAGTAGTGCTCGAAGGGGTTAGCATTCTTGAAAAATTATATCTTGTTCATGACTTATATTACACAATTCCAAAAACTGTAATGCACAATAATATCTATAGAACTTGATAAATTTCTTCACCTACACTGTAAGATAACTGTTTTGCCTTCATGCAGCAATAGACAGTGTTTTTGTCAGAGAAACCGATGCACTTTAGTTTCCAGGTTTGTAATTTCAATGGAAAATTAATTTAGTTCTGTTCAGTAATAGATCCAAGATTCTGCCAACCTGTTTACAAAATACAAATTACCAAACAACAGTATCATGGTGTTTTGAATTTTTTTCTTTTTTGTAGCTCTTCTAGTTCAACATACTTTCTTTATTAAGGACCAAGTCCTTCTTGACCTTGATAAAAACAATGTCAGCGGCTTAGTTTTTGTGGACTATAGCAAGGCATTCGACTTGATCAATCATGACATTGTCCTAGTAAAGTTAAGATCATATGGATTTCCAGATAATGTTGTAAAGCTATTGCAAAGCTATCTACTCAATCGCAAACAGTCTGTCACTGTAAATAACTCGACTTCGTCACAACTTATGCTAACCAATGGAGTTCCTCAAGGTAACATATTAGGACCTCTACTGTTTTTAATTTTCGTCAATGATCTTCCCCAAGCTGTTGGATCGGACTCAACTATTCATGCTTACGCGGATGACACCACATTTAAAGCCAGCGCTAATATCGATAATGCACCTTTGGAATTGGAACGACGTCTTCAAGAATACATGGATAAATTAAGTAAATGGTCTAGCGAAAATGGGATGGTCCTAAACGCTGTTAAGACCAAAGCATTACTTATCACCGGAAAGAGGCTACATTCATCATTAGTTGATGGCAATCACCTGTCAGTGACCCTTGAAGGGCCGAAATAGAACAAGTAACCTCTTATAAATTGCTTGGTGTAACACTCGATCAAGATCTTGCATTTAGTGACCACATTTCTAGCCTAAAGGCTTTCTCAGCGTATTGGTTTATTAGAAAAGATAAAGAGATACCTTCCAATAAAAGAAAGACTTTTATACTATAACGCCTTGATTAAACCCGTCCTTATGTACGGGAGCATGGTTTGGAATACCTGCGACGTTAAAGAACTCCACTGTCTCCTAAGGTTGCAAAAAAGGGCTGCCGGAGTAATTCTTGGAGTAGACCCTTATTCTAGAAGTGTTATAAACTTTAGTAAACTAGGCTGGTTGCCTTTTTTTCACGAAATAAAAGTAAACAAATGTGCCATGATCTTTAAGAGCCTCAAATGAATTGTTCCTATTTATATCAAAGATTTGTTCAAGAGGAACAGTTCTGTTCACAATAGGTCCACGAGACATGCCAATTTAAATTTAGTGTATCCCAAATACCTAAGAAATAACGATGGTGGCAAGGTATTCAGTGTTGACGCAGTTAAGTTATGGAACAGCCTTCCCCATGATATCAAAAAAAAGCCATGTATAAATTTATTCAAAACAGCTGTGAAAAAGCATTTTATAAGCTCATATAAAAACCTGGACAACTTTGAAACAATATTAAGCAATAGCACACTAACTAATTTTAATTTTAATTTTTTATAAATTAATTTTATCTTTCTGAATATTTTTAATATGTCCTGCTATTTTTATCATAGAATTTTGTAATTATTTATATATTTATTCATTATCAGTTTTTTGTAATGCTGTATAATCTAGTTAGAGGGCCACAGGTTTGTCAGCTTATCAGCTGTTACGTGTCCCCCTCTTCAAATAAAGTCATTATTATTATTATTATTATTGAGTTTTCGGTAGATTTATCAGGTAATGACAATACACTTATGATACTTATCCATGGTAAATTTTCAGTTGACTTATGTCATAGGACTGAAGCAAACATTTTATCGCTTCCTTAGAAGCATTTTTACACAGATTTATCCATTTGAGCAAGAAAAATAGTTGCACCAAACTGTTTACAAACAGTCAAACACGCACAAGCATGAAATAATGTATAAGTTTGACGAGATTGACAGGTCTACTAATGCCGTTTGATTTGCACTTTTAAAAGATTAAAATGTCATAAAATAACTTAAATGTTACAGCCAAAATATGCGTTTCTCTACCGTCGATTTTCTTTATTTTGATGTGTGTGTACTGTGTTTTCACGTAATGCTGAAGCATTATTTTCACATGATGCTGTCGGTATCGTAATTGTCTTTTTTCATTTGTTATCGTTCATATAAACAGTATTGGAAATCAGGAGGGAGTGAATATTGAAAAAAATTTTTAAAGTGGAAGTTTTGACCACCAAAATCCGCCATTACCGCCATATTTTTGACTACGGGGTCCAGGTCCCTTTTCCCCTCCAGGTCTTATAGAACTCAATGGTGTTATCCTTTGATAACTCTTTGATAATCAGTTGACGAATTCGCACTGATCTCATTTGTATGATGTTTGACTAATGAATTCATTGACTAACAAATTATTTGATAAATCTTCTAGTAAGCCCTTGCTCCCAGCCTTACAACACGAATTCACAACAGGTTGCATCCAGATACAGCTTTTTTCCCGTGCAGTTTCAAGATAGAGTTCGTAAAGTCAAAACGATCGTTTTAGTTTAGATATCACGCTTTAAACCTATACCTATATTTTTAATTCACATTTTACTCACGTTTAAATTTACGTTTTTATTCAAGTTCATATTTCTCAGCACCATGCACGAAAAAATGCTTTACACGCTCCACAAGCTTCCAAGGCTACTCGACTACTCGTTACATTTAGATTCCAATATCAACTGACGGAATCTCATATCTCTGTGTTCTTATCACTCCAAAAAAAGCGAAGCTCTACCGCAATAGAAACACCAGCGTGTTTAAATATCACAGTATCCAGAAATGTTTAAAGTTTGCTTCTCTACCTGGTCGACCATTATCCTCTCAAATATCAGAAGAAACCACATTACAGCTTGAGCAGAACATAAGTGCATGAAAGCAAAGTTAAGGCCGTTTCAAACGTCAAACGTTGCTCGAGCATCATGTAAATTTAGCAATAGAAGAAGAATTCTCTGTTGTGTCGTCTCTGGAGTTGGCATATCTGTGCTGGTACACTGAGCATTAGAAGGAAAAGGAAACTATAACTTTTTTAGAAGTGGGTAACCTGATCTGTAGATTTAGTGTAGGAATCAAACTTCGTCAGTATATTTACCAACAAGCAAAAATCCTTCATTATCTTGCCAAAATACCCAGCGATTCACAGTTATGTTTCCAATCATTATGATATAGCGAAATGGGGCGCGGTGATGGGCAAATGACTGGCTCAAACCTGCTTACTTTGTCTATAATTAATACATTCGTTGTGTTTCATGCAAGTTAATAAAGCCTATTTAATTTATTTTTTAATATCATCACCGAAATCATTTTTACTCATCACGTGATATTAATTTCTATGTGGACAAAATAACTTGGATTGGTTTATTATGAATCGGCAAACTATTTGCTGTTATAACAAATTTACTTGACAAGAGGTTGGTTTACTTAATTCAAGAAACTTTATTGTTGACAAATTTTCTTCATGCACGGCCAAAAAGAATTTGCTACACTCAAAACTGCAGCGACGTCTTATCAAACTTACTCAAAATCACGTACAAAAAGCACTTCAATAGTTGGTTAAATGTTTAGCAAAATATGTATCATAGACGTCCTCCAAATCAGTGTAAAACTACCATATTTCATTTAATCAATAACACAAAGAAAAGGGTGTGGCCTTTAACAAATCGACTTAAACAGTCCAACGGCCAACGACGAAGCAGATATCCAGAATCATTTATATTTGAAGTAGGTCGCTGAAGGGAGGAACTTTGACCATTTAAATGAAAATCAAGTACCATGTGTTTACCATCACAATCATTTATAAATTTCGTGGTGTCATTTTTATGAAATGGCCACTTTTGAACAGCTTTGTATTCACCTAAAAAATATAACAAAAATTAGTAAATTTCTTATAATAAGAATGAAATTCCTAAGCTCTAATATCTGTAGTAGTTTGTTAATAGTTTCGATGCTGTTTCGGATCGTGTTCGAGTTAAAAACATGCTATTTACGCACAATGCCGAATCTCAGAGCATTTGAGAATACCTCTTAACAAAAATATAATATGTAAACCTCAAAGTAACAAATAAAGCAATGTTCGACGGCAATTAAAATAGTCTTCAGAGTATTTTGTATGTTACTAGAGTCGTTCCTTTGAAAAGGATTGTTCAGCATGCATCTGTTCGAGATTCCGTCAGTACCAACTTTTAAAAAAACCACTCCAACAGAAAACCTTGTGCATCGTACATTGTGAAATACTGCAAAAATTTAGTTTTATAGTTTGCAATATCCCACAAAAACAACCTGTAGTCACAAAACAGATTTATGGTTTGCAATATCCTACACAAACCACCTGGAGTCACAAAACAGATTTTATAGTTTGCAATATCCCACACAAACCACCTGTAGTCATAGAACAAATCAACAAACGCAAATTTCAAGCAGACTAACGCTAGAAGTTTACAACCCTCTACAACTGCTAGGTAGATAGTTACTAAGATTATGGTATTGAACATGATCAAAGCAATGCATCAATTTCAAACAATATATTCACTTAGCCTTTTTCATCCAAAAAACTATTTTAAATTTAAAAACCTTTCCCAAAATCAGATACGATTTAGAAAGATATGTTTAGTCAACAATTAACATAATAAACAGTGTATTACCTTTAATATACTGGCGATTGTTTAAATTTTCCGAACTTTGAGGATCTGAATAAAAAGCATCAAACATGTGATCACCATTTCCTTGATCCATTAACATCATTGTGATCTTCTTTTGGAAAGGCCATGTTTGAAGTGCATCGTTATCACCTAGAAACAATTAAAAAAAAGTAAATGCATATTTCCAATTTATTATAATAAATTCTTTCAAAGCACTTTAACTTTGTATTTTTTCTCTCTTACTCCCAACCCTTTCTAAACATAACAACAGACCAATAAGAAAATATGGCATTTCAACATCGACCACTATTGTTATTCAAAGGACCATGACAACATTTGATGTGGATGTTCATTTTGCAATTGACAAATTGGAAAAACTATTGATATTAAATATAAAACATTTGATGACCAAACACTTGTTAAATAACTGAATTAACAACCATAATGTATATAACCTGTTATCTATATCTAGCTGGCAAAAATGCTTTAATTTTAGAGCAGTCAAATGCAAAAAAATAACGATAAAAGAGAATAAACCTTTCATAACAACAAAAAACAAAGATAAATGAGTTCCTTTTCCAAAACCATCGCCATTCATATAGATCTTAGCACACATCTTGTAACCAGGTTGAGAACTGTAGAATGGCGGACTGTACAAGGCTGTTTTTACACCATTTATGGCGTCCTGTCTCTTCTTCTTGAAGTTATCAATTTTCCAAAGTAACGTACCGTTGTAGCTGTGTATAGCCTGGTTAGATCCCAGTGCACAGGCACCACGTTGCGCGTTACGCGCCAATGACTCGAAAATTTGTTCTAAACGCTCGCGAATCCGTTGTATGATGGATGAATTATTTATCATTTGTCGCTCAAGGACATGATCCTCTCACGAATTGAGAAAACAGCTTCATACAACTGGGCGTCCCTATCGTTACCATCACGACGCTTGAGATTGTCGATCGTCTTTTTGAGATCTGTAAGTTTACCTTCTAACATCACAAGTTTTTCTGAGAGATTGGCACGAACAGCATTGGGTCGGTCAGCCATGCCTTCACCACAAATAGAAAATTCCGAAGGTGGTACATAGTTACTTAACTGCGTAACAATTGCGATAACATATCGCAACAGGAGGCTCACATGATCAATTAGATTGTCCTTCATATGTTGTTGGATCTCCCTTCGTTTTAAAGTCTGTAAAAAAAAGACAAAGATAACAGCAGCACATTTTTTTTAAAAGGCAACTTTGTTATCTTTGCAAAAAGCCCCTACACAGGTGTGCAAGTATTAAGACCTTACTAACCAAGCACGAGGTCATGTGATTTTGCAATGAATTTCATTTCTCCGTTTTTTTAATAATGTTAAAGATTATGACATGGGCTAGCTGTATATGGCGGGGTTAGAGGGTATCGGGATAGCTTCCATTCTAAGACAACGTTTTACTTATGGTTTGTCAACGGAATGCTTTAAGTAAGATAGAATTACCTGAGAACAATTACATAAATGGATTGTAATTAAGACGTATATGTTTAGCTTTAAAACGTATTTATGTTAGCAGATTAGAACTTCTCAATTTGTTTGATTTCTAAAACAGCGATGCATGCAGAAAATAGTTATTCCGGAGTCACGCTTTGTAGGCTTTACACAAGATACCGTTAGATGCACGATAGCAACTTTACGACAATCATAATCATTGTATGTCGATAATCTATGGATATAATTCTTAATCTGGTCATTTATAGTTATAGTTGTGGTGTACTTACTTATGTCTTTGTTCACATGCATAAACATCTTAAACAGTCCAAAGATTCTTACTTTATTATGGTTACATCCAATAGCTTGAAATTCACATTCAGTCGGCACTTCATCACAAGTTGTATTTTCATGGTTTTCAATGTTCTTCCTCTGTATCAATTGCTTACAATACTTGCAAGGTACGGGTGCATTGTCACAAATATTGTCTAAGTGGTCCTATATGTTTACGAAAAATATTAAGATCCAAAATTACTCTGTGGATGAAAACAATAAACGCACATCCACAGCTAGATCCTACCTTAAGTGAATCATAAGGGACATCTTTCCCACAATATTCACATTTCACATTTCGATATTCACAATCATTCTTCAAATGTTCATCAAGGAGAGAGCGATGTAACTGAATGTTACATTGTTTGTGTACACAGCTAATGAGCGCATGCTCACAAACTTGAGAATGACCCTGAAAAAAAAGAAGCTTTCGTTAATAATATGCCTACAATTTTTACTACAACTCTCTTGGTGCAACTTACTTCTAATTCTTCGTAGGTACCAAACCAATTGCAATTGTTAGAAGGACAATGTAAACGAATCGTTCTCAACTCGCGCCTTGCAAAAGCATCCGGGAAAACCTAGATAGGTTTCATAGAAATCAATAATATTCAATGTAAGAAGTTTAAACGAAGCTAGCCTGGAAAGGAGGAAAAACATAGTACAGATTTATTGAAAAACATAAAGTTTCCCAGGATTCCTAATCGTATGCTATATGTTACAATAAGAATTTTATTCAAAAGTAAGAATAAAATTTGGAGTAAAATTTAAGTTCGATCTCTTGTGTTATTAAAAACTTAAAATTATAATCGTTCCACTTCTTATTTACAAAAATCGAGGGAGATAGCTATGCATAGTTGTGTCGATAATTTTTAGGCAAATTATAACGAAATGAAACTAATTGACTCTTAGCACATACATTTGCGAAGGGATTTTCTGGTTCTAGTACAAGAAATTTAATGTATATGGGTATCGATAAAGTGGATGTTAGCACTAATTTTGTAAGTAGTTACACCTTGAAGCTTTTTGTTTGTGAATTTTAATTTAGAATCTACGATTGATAGTAGCTGTGGAATCTCTTGTTAAAACCTACTTTTCACATACCTCGTTTTGGTTTAATTCTTGTTCATCTTCAGGACATCTCGGATCAGAACATCTACAGATTGAACAATGAACATAAATACTTTTGAATATGAGCTAAGTCATATGTTGAGACACCCAAATGACAGTATTCATGCCACTGTTTTCAATCGATGACAATGATAAACACTAATTTAGAACTTCAAAATTATTTTCTGCATGAAAATAGTCAAATTTGTATAAACTGCCATACCCAAGTACAATGTCAATACAAGATTCACAAAACAAATGTCCACACGAAGTCTGCATTGGATTGACAAGAAGATGATGACAGTAAGTACATATGAATTTTGGGTGGATTTTTTTTTCGATCTTCATCACGAATCTTTGTTCCAGGCATCTTACTTGATAGCAATTTGGACTTAATTTGTTTCTACCATTAAAAAAATAAACAGGATGAGCAGCTTACACATGCAACAAGCACTCGGATTAACGAAAATGGAAGCAAGTTTTTTCTATTTTTCCACGTTTGAATGTAATCATTTGACTGCATGTTGTGAGAATTTAAGACTAATCTTTTGTTTTTCGATATAGACAATATATTAAACAGGTTTATGATGATCATTTCTTTTGTCAATTAGCACTACAACACCATAACAAACAATCCTCGTGCGCATGTGCAGATTTTGAATTTAGTAGGTTGCATGATATAGAACATTTGGAAAATGAAAGCGCGAGTTTAAATAAACATGATGACGCCTGTCTGCTGACTTAACCATTTTTATGTCTTGACTGACTTGTTAATTTAGAGATCATGTAGCCTTTTACTGGCTCTATATTGCACCTACTCTAATCATTAGTCTTTAATTTATACAACATGTAAAGACATGATCCGAGTATAGTAATGTTGGGAATGAAATTTCAAGTTGTCGAAGAGTAGCAAAATTGTGATGAACATTTTAAATCAACTTTGCCGAAGACAATCATCCTGTAATGGACAAAAATCATTCCAGCATCTTACTTGTAAAAACGACATTGTTTACTATCAGCTATATTGACTAATTCCCTAAATTGCATATGACATTATGTTGGACTTTTATTGATTCCGAATGATAGATCTCATAACGTTGTATAACCATTTCCAAATTTGTTTTTGCGTAACATGCATATTTCCAAAGTTAAAAACTGCTCAAATACAGATTTGGAGGAAAAAAGAGTGAACACTTGTGGACTAGAATTCAGGAATATGCCTGAGAAAATATTTAAGTTCATATTACAATATACTTTTCTTGTAGCTATCTGCGCATTGTTTCAACAGTCATAAACTAGTAATGCTTCGCACTAAGCTCTGTGTAAATGCCTAATTTTTAATTTAATATTTCTATATTTTTGTTAAAAGCGTAGTCCTGAAATCCAGTAACTTTGGTGCGCTGTCTTGTTTAATTCTGTGTTCGAGCTACATTTGAACTTCTGTAAATTTTTTTGCTCTTAAAAACTAATAGAAAACTTGATAACTTAATTTTCTTGAAAACTTACACAATAAAAATCCAAAATTGGTGATAAACACTTAAAAACATGTTGCTAGAATCGAGGCGAATACACTACCCCCTACCGCCTATTTTATAAAAAGATTCGGCGAAATACCTAGACGGGGATTTCCCTAATCGATGGAACGAACAGTAATATTTACATGCAATAAACAGTATTTACATGCAATATGCTCCAAGTCGAGCAATGGCGTTCATTTTGCATTCATTAAAAAAATAATAAGAAACAAACTCCAAATACGTCGATAGTCGATACAATCAAACACACGTCTATTTCAACCTCGAATTCATTTTTAAATCTGTTTTGAGAATGATAAGAATCGACGAGTTAAAGATAGACTTATCTTGAGCAACTTATCTTGAGCAAACTATCAACATATTGCACAGTTTGGTCATGACCTTCATTCTGAATGGTGATATTTTGACAGCGGCGGGGCCGCAGCTGGGGTAATCAATATTTTATGAAAAACAGTTATTTATACAAATTGATAAAAAAGATAACCGTAAACAATGCGTTGCTTTCTACATGCAGTGTCATTTTATTGAGATGTTTTGTAGAATGTGAATTGTGTGCAAATGACGTTCATTGTAACTCCCATCGCTTACACAAAATCAATATTACCATTATTAAAAATCCATCGAATACTTACATTAAAACCCAAGATGATTTTTCAAAATAAAAATAACTATTCTTTCATAAATCTTCAAGATTGCATGTGAAGGTTATCAGATATCACTTGACACTTTGAAGGGGAATCCCAACAGGTTTAGGGGAATACCAATATATTTGAACCGTTTATTGTTATTTCACAGAACCATACCATAATAGGGATCAATTCACTTAAGTTTTGCACATGTAGTAGATTAGAATATACGCAAATAAACGTGCAAATAAAGAGAAAAAATGAACTAATTTTAAAGAACATGTGCTGGATACTTTTTCCCTAACAAAATATGCTAGTTAAATTGCTAAAGTCACTACAGTTAACGTACTCTAACGTATTCTACGTTGTTCAACAAAAGGACCTTCCATTGCCATTCCACCATACTGCATCAAAAACAGTAGAAAATACCGTAAGAATTAGTATAGTTTAGGTTAACTTGCTCAATGATCAATTAATTGGTATAACATCGTTGGCGGAATTTATTTCGTTTTGGAATCTATAAAAGAAAGACAAAAAAGTTTCAAAAAAAAGTGCTTACTTTAAAATAAATGTTATAGTTATTTAATTGCTTTTGGTGCACCCTTCATGTAAAGAACACATTTCCACTACATTGATGACATGTCTTGTTTACGTTTGATGGCAGGCAGATATATGCTAAGAGAGGTTAACCACTGTTGCTCGTTTTGTCCAAAAGCACTAGACCAAATCTTCCTGCCAGCAAAACGTAAAAAAGGCAAACCATCTATAAATCAATAATCTCAGACGATCAGGATATACTAATCGTTTACAAAAGAGTATACGCAAGAACAGAGTCGTAGAAACATCACTAATTAATGGAGAGATATTCATATATGCATGATAGCAGTATTGCATTCCTTTAAAATCCATCGTTTTTTAAGGATTATCACATGCATATATGAAAGTGGATACCCCAATTATCGATTTTCCTGGGCCCATAAATGCAAAACATGATAAATACCTCCTGAAAGTAAAATTAAGTCGTAGCAATGTATATTGTGTCGTTAATATGAACTAGTTAAAAACACTGAATATTCTTACTTTATCATGGTTGCACCCAATGACTTGACAATTGTCAGTGTCTACTTTATGGCAAAATTCTTCGTGGTTTTTGATATCTTTTCTTCGTATTTTATCTTTGCAATTTTTACAAATTACGGGTGCATTTTCACATGTGTCTTTTATGTGATCCTATGTGTAAAATAAAATAAAAAATAATATCAGTCGTCCAGTGCACACTCAAAATGAGCACGCACTGAAAATACTGGGAATGAAACTATTTAGAGCACATAGGATACAAATTACTGAGGTTCTTCAGCGTAACTAACCATCCATTTTTTGTAGTTGCCAAACCATTTACACGGGTCAGAAGGACAATGCAGAAGAATACTTTCCAATTCATCTTTTGTGAACGGGTGTGCTGAAACCTATATGGGTTTTATTAAATTATATCAAAACTCACAAATAAGAAAAAAGCATTTCACCTTGTTAAAAATTAACTGTAATGACTAGCATGTCGTGGTTTTGTCATAACTAAAACACTTCTAAATTTCATGTTTTAAATGTTACTTCAGCAGGGACGTTGCAAACGGGGTGGTCAGGAGCGTGCCCGACCCCCCAATCATGTTCTTTCGTAAAAAATTGTTCATGCCTCGGTAAATTTTTGCGAAATTTCAATACATGTTTGGTAACTATACGCCCAAACCCGTACCATGCCACACGCTCTAGATTGCCATAGTCAATCAGTCATGCAATGTAAGTTTCAGGATATTACCATTGTTAATATCTTTCAAAATACATTAGTTTTGCACTATTACTGAGGATAAAAACGTAAAAAGGCGTAATATAATCTGTATTTTGCTAGCCAGCAAGTTTTAATGCTGCTATGTAATTTTCAGAACATCTTCAAAAATATTATCGCAGAACATCAGAAACTGATAAACTGGAAATTTACTGTCCGCTCTAGATTACTTTCTGTCAATTATAGATTGTTTTTACGTACGTTGTTCTCGTTTAATTTTTCTTGATCTTCTGGACATCTTGGATTAGGACGTCTACAGAGTGAATGAACATAAGAACCTCGAAAAATTTTCAAGACATCGGAATCAAGAATATATTCTTCAATTGTAGATAATTATAAAGTTAAATTGAGTTAAAAAACATAACTTAAAAAATGAGCAGTTTATACAATTTACATAACATAAATTAATCATGTAGTTAAATAAACACAAAAACTTTGCTCGTAATTCGTAAATGCAAGGGTATAAAACTCCTTATCGCAAGAGCCTACATAAATAGTACATAATCATGCATTTTGTAAGCGTCATTTTTTGGAGACAATGCTTCAATCATACCTATAAACAGGAAGATCTCATAGTAATTCTGTTTCAAACCAATCAACAAATAATGAATTTTGATAGTCTTTTACACACAATTATAATCAATCACAACTTCTGCAAAATGGCCGGCTTAAATAAAAAATGCCTCACCCCAGAATAATTTTAACACAAGACTGACAAAAGAAGTGTTTACACTTTGCTTCCATTCGCTTGTTCAGCAAGAAGCCACAGAAAGTACATTTGTGTTTCGCGTCGATTTTTTTTAGATCTTTCTTACTGATCTCAATTCCAGGCATTCTAAACAAAAGCTAAGTACAGTAAGAAATGTGTTGAATAAGAAATGACAAGAAAAATTTTAAATAATTGCATAGTAAGCATTTATGTACGTTTGTCTGAATTAATTAAAAGTATAGCGAAATCAAAAAATTATCCAAAAATATCTTATACTTCATTCGAGCAATTAGCTCAGTCTTAAAAATAAAATAATGTTACATTTTTATATAACGAACAAAATCTAAATAGTAAATTAAAAATACAATGTAAAAAATCCGATAAATTTAGAAGATAATGTTAAAACTCATAATAATACGACTGGCTCCCACTTGCCTTTCTCAAAAATCATAAGAGACACTTAAATATTTTGATCTTTACCAAAAAGTACAACTTTAATGCTTCAAGTCATTAATGAAATGCTTTCGAATTATTCAAAATGTTTCAGAGTAATCAGGATTCAATTCTGCCGCGTATTACCACAATGTATTAAATACGTTTGATAGAAAGTTCAAATTTAATGAATGATTGTTTTGCTCTTTTAATCAACGAGCTTAAGTCGTGCAAACATTATCCAAATCCAGTTAATAACGGCAAAATTTCTACTCGAATCCAGATGTATGAAAGTAGATTGTTGGAAGAGAAACAATCTTTTACGCATACTATATATATTTAATTTTTATTAACTGCATGATGACTTTCATATAACACTTACTTGACCAAGAGTTTCTCTAATTTCGCAGTTGATAATGACGGTTTCTAAATAATGTGTTAAAGACAGAGTGGTATCATGGGCGTTGACTGGGATTGGCTAGGGACTTCCCCACTTTATGGTTGATACCAACTTAAGCTTTGAATTCATAAATCCGAGGAATTCGTTCGATTATCAAAATAGAGTATTTATTTCATCCACAACTAATATACGATTATACAAAAGTATCCTAATAGAGCAAAAATGAATTCAAAGTAGTCTTTAAGAAGGTGTCTTCTCTTTACATGAGCAAGGTAACGTTCTCATGAATGTATTGAACAACAGCACTCAGGAACAAAGATATACGAATACTAACTTTCGTAATGTTGTTGATGATATCTAAATCCAAGGCTTTTTATGATAAAAAAATGTCACGTAAAATCGATGATTTAGCGATAATAACTAATCTCAAAATAATTCACTTATATAGGAGTAAATGTCCTTTATTAGTAGAAAGTTGAGTATTCGTCCAATCTATGACTGTGGCCTTATAATTCTTATTGCAATACAAACATAACGTAAACAATTTAACTCACTGTTGCTATTAATATTGTTCGTGTTTTTGTCACGTTAAACATACCTCCTGTCCTGGCAGGTACTTAACCTTGTAGGTTTAAAGACTTCTGACAAACATAGGAAGATAAAATTTATAAGCAGTCATTGCACTTAGATAGCACAAACTAATTATAACAGCGTTTGGAATTCAAATAATCTATGATTGATTGTTATTTAAAATAACATATAATATTTATTGTTGTTTATATTATTCATGATGTTATTAACACATACAAATATTTTTCTTGTTTCTATAGAGTCATGGAAACATACGGAAAAGTTTAAAAGAAACGAGAAATTACGTAGCAAGTGCAAGCACAAAGTGCAAGTGCTTCCAAGCAATTTTGAATTTGATTCTAGTGTGGAATGCATTGTACTTTAATTTTTACTGCGAGTTTTATAAAATTTCAATATCAGTTTAATTAGAACACTACCATTCACCGTGACACTGTGAAAAGTCCAAGTTTCCTTTCTTCAACATGGTTGCACCCACTGGTTTAAAATTCACATTCTGTTCACCTTTCACCACAAGTCCTTCGTTTTCAGTTTGCACAAACTTTTCTTCGTTGCTATCTCTTGTTGCTTTTCTAGCAACTCCATTTAAGAAGACAAAAGTTTACTCTGTAAAGAATTTTTAAAGCTTACCGTTGGACAAGTTGAAATAGCTTGCATATACATGCTAACTATATGTTCGCAGTTACGTAGAGCACAAAACACACAATTCATACGAATTACACTTGTATGAACAAGGAATTCACGCGTTGTAATCACTCGTAAGGTGATGTCCAAAATGAATGATCACAGGGATAGACAATGACTTAAAATAAAATTTTCTTTCAAATGTTTAAAATATTTATCAATGAATACCCAGGGATTCCCCAAACCGTTGGAACAAATTGCACGCATGAGGAAGCCATTTTAAAATTCCAACATTCAAGAAATGCCTACCGTTGTCAAAATAAATCAAACACGAAAAAATTTCCATCGCTACAAAATGAATTCAAAAGACAGAAATCTACTATGGCAAACTTATTTATACATTGATTATACAACAATGGAAATTTTCCCGATTTTAATTTGGCCTCATGATCTTCATTCTCACAACAAGCTGTGGTATTTGATTTTCCTCGCGGGGGCGAGTATGAGGAAATGCGTCGTTGAAGGTTAAGCACAGTATGTTTTACTAAAAATAAAGCTGGTCATTGCAAAAATGGTAAACCTCATACCCTATTGTACCTTAAAATTATTATTTGAAACATCCTCATGTTACATGATTTTCAATGCAATTAATTATTTATACCAATCTATGCAGACCAGTGAAATGTAAACACCGTTCAATGATGCAGACTTCAACATTTTAATTAATATAGCATGAAAGTAAAATAACAGAAGGCCTACGTTTTGCTGCATGAAGCCAATCATAATTATAGTAAAATTGAGTCCTTTGCAGTTTTTCTACAAAAAAAACCAAAAATATTAATAAAAGGAAATTCAACGCAATTAACAGAAAATAAAGTCTTCTTTAAATTCTTTCCAGCTAGTGAAAACATTCAATCAACATGCACAATTGCATTTCTTATTACATGTTTAGAATTTGATAAAACAACAGTCTTTTGTGCGCAAATATTTACAATTTTTTGATAGGTAAGCAAAAATTCGACAATGCATGTTTTGCCGTATTAAGTTCTTTTGAAATCAATTGTTCGTTCAGGATTAGCTATAACTTGAAAATATGAATACAATCACCCCTCCCCCTAGCTTTTATCGAGCTGGCGACGTACGTCACTGAGATGACTTTGAACTTTCAATTGAAAATACATAACTGCTGATCCTATTGTTAATATTTTAATTTCAAGTATCTTTTTACTGAATTTAGCAATTTTCAACAAACAAAGTGTTCAACCTTGCAGTATTTTGTATTTATAATAAGCTGCCGCTATACTTTATCATTTGACTTATCTTAGATCTAACTATGATAAAGTCTTCTGAATTGAAAAATCATTTGTACAAAATAAAAATTTCTACTTCGTAAAATCAAACTGATGTATGTCTTCAAGTGAAAGACATTTAAATGATCTACACATAAAGTATTGTGCGGCAATTATATGACGACAAAAAGCTTCATCAAATAAAACATTCACAAACTTTAGTTCAAATGAACACTCACCCTGATAACATTTTCCTTACGCGCTGTGAGTTTATCAAACTGTCAATGTACGACGTCTGTTTTCGATCTTTGGCTAATTTTAACAAGATTTTAACGGCTTTTCGTTTTCAACTAGTATTGTAAAACCTACAAATGTGAAAATCTTTCTGTGCATCTTCTTACTTGGGTACCACCCAAAACCAATGAAACATTTTGTTCAAGCTCGTGACTTTTAGTTTATATCAAACACAAGACTCCCAAGAAGGCATAAACACAAGTGATAACATTATCATTCGTGAGATTTCAGATTTACAATGTACAGTTGGCCCAAGTTTCTACATTTCGTATGTTCTGTGTAGATGAATTTCCCATTCAGTAAGGGCTGTTCACATGAGCCCGGTAACCAAGATTCAGCGAGGCATGAAAGGATTTTGAGTCATTGAAGGGGTAAAAACTTTAAGCGCAAACTTACAACCTTTTATTAAGCGTCATAAGTCGTTTTAGTAGAAATTTTCTTATCAATCTAAGTTATTTCTTTCCATTTTAAAGGTTTTGTGAATTTGCAAATTATGAGCATAGAGAAATTGTCTTTTCCATTTGCCAAAATGATTTAACGCTTCGCTGAATCCTGGCTACTGGACTCATGTGAACAGCCCTTACTGATTGGGAAAATTCATCTATACATAACATACGAAATGTGGCAACTTGGGCAAACTGCATATTGCAAATCTAAAATCTCACGAATGATAATGTCATCACATGTGTTTATGCCTTCTGAGAGTCTAGGTGGGAGACTCAAATGAAAAAGCTCTAAACGTGTAACATGTATGATTTTTTACGTAATTTTTATCGTAATAAATATTTGGTGTGCAGCCATTCCCCTGGAAGAGAGAAAACAATGGAATGTTCGCCATGTTAGGGGACATTTACGTTGTAAATAAGGAAAAATCTTTGTTAAAATCATCTAACATGCTCGCTATGATAGAGCTTACATACAAAGAATTCTCATTGTCTTGAAGTCAGCTGTACATTCACAATGGAGCAGATTAATACTATTCTTGACTTGCACTTCAGCCATTTTGGTGGTTCTGATAAAAAAGAATATTTTATCAGTGCTATTGCCCACACCAGCCGACGTAAGTGGTTAACATTTTTTGGCAAACCTCAAGAAAATGGTCCCAGTGTAGAAAAAAATAGTATAGTCTCACTCTATTGTGCAACTTGGTGCTGTCTACTTAATTAGATTACTGGCTGCGGCAAGCCATCTTAGCGTTTCTATTGGTCATAAAAGATATGCCGAATAAGATATGCGCTAAACAAAAAATTTCAGAGTGGGACTACTGTTTGTTTTTATACTGTGGAATGGTTGCAAGGCAAGAGTATACGTATACGTAATTGGAGATGGTATCAGAATATATTGTTTTTTATTTAATGATATTTGAAATATATTACGATTGGGAAGTCACAGCAATATAAAAGTTTCACATACAGTTTCATATGCTAATTCGTTGTCGCTGCAAGTTTTAGTGTGATAGAGTTGTATGATGTACAAGCACTCATTATTTTCTTTACATTATTCACGTTTGTGCAGCGTACTCCTTTATTATTAGGATTGGAATACAAACTGCTTTTCAAAACAATTTGTAATAATTTGGAGAATTTTGTTGTGAAATTTTGGCTTTAATAGCCACAACAACATTAGACTTAGCCAGCCCAAATAAAGATCATCGTTACGCTAAAATTTCAATCAAACAATCGAATACATTGCAAAATTTTCATTTCAGTAATACAAATCACAACGAGAAGTATGTCTTAGATGTTTGTAGATGTAGATTGTCTAGGTTAGTAGAGTCCTGAGAAGGACTATTGGCGTTGATAACGACTGAAACTTCGACAACGTTAACGGTAGTGACCTTCCGAGTTAAGGGTGAAGTCCTTCGTGGGAAGCTACTAACTTTAACGATATACATCTACAAACATGTAACGATACTCCTGGGTTCAAACCATTTACTTTAGCATGTTTCGGAATATATTTTCGCGTAATAAATAAATGTAAAGGAGGCAAAGAAATGTTGGCGATAAAGCTGTAACGACGTCGGCGAGCGCTTGCAATTAATGAGAGCGCATTAAAAATTGTGTTCAGGATTTTTTTTGACGTTCGCCGAACATCGGCGCTGTCATCGCAAGAAACAAAACACTTTGTTTCTTACGATTATCGCCGATGAATGCCGAGTATTAGACTACTTGCTTAAAAATCTTTTAAAACAAGAAACTGTTGAGCTGGGTGATTTCGGCGACAAGTTATATCATAAACCATTGATTCTGCACAGAAAGTATTAACATTGGGAGTGCTGCACCCCAGCCCTCTTGAATTATGGCTCTGAGGAGCTATCTAAACACTTATGATCGCGCATGCGTGAAACATTGTGTAGTGAGTATGCAAACATCTTTTTTTACCGTTGTATTGCTTTTTTGCTTTACCATTATTTACACTTCACTGCACATTCCTTTTAGTTTTATTTAGATAATTTTATACATCGATGCATGTTTATTTATCATCAGGAAGGCTGCTTTGCGTAAAACAATGTATAGGGAGTATATTTCTTTAAAATAATAGTTATAAATAGTTACTTTGCTCTTACTTATAGAATATGAATCGCTTATTTTTAATCGTATGTATAACAATGTTCAATTGGAGTGTAATTAGCGCGTAAATATAGACGTAGTGGAAGATGTTCACAAACTGCAATTTTAGCCCGAAAAGCCCGTTTCGTGATATTTCACTCATCAAAGATTTCAATGATAAATGAATATGTATAAATATATATACATGAGGACTGAAGTTAGCATTTTAAGCAAGGTGTATGATTATAAATTGCATAAGAGTGTTTCGTATATCTATGGCAATAAGAGGAAACAAGTTTGTTACGTTTATTGAGTGATGATTGCGTTGGTTGAGGAGGATGAAGAATTTTTATTTCAGGCAAATATTGCATCTATTACTGGCGCTGCTCTACGGTTTGCTGTGTGTGATGATGCTCCATGAGATGTTTTCGTGGTCAATGTTGCTGTCTGTAAGTGTCCAAATGTGCTTACTGAGTTAGGTCGAGTTTCGTAGTTTTTTTTGTGGCGGAAAGTGGCAGTGTCGTTGCTATGTGTAGTCTTAAATTCATTTTCTGTAAGTCCAATGTACGTCTCAATTGTGTTATTGTTTTTGCATTTCACAGTTTCTTGGTAGATTGCGCATGATGGTAAGTAGTTTCCGTAAAATGGGTCATGGGCTTTTTGTTTCTGCCGGCAGTTGCATGTTCTGGTCTGTATTTTTTTGTTCGCGGTGTTGTCGTTTTGTTGCATGTTCTTGTAATGTAATTGTTATGATTTTGGATCATTTGTTCTCGATGTTGTTCATGCAGTTGTAGCTGAGTTTGACTGTCTTATGGTCAAATACTTTCCTAAGTTTGTGATCTATGGGGAGTGTTTGTCGATTAACAAAAGGAATTTGTAGCCAACGTTTGTGTAGACGTTTTTGCTGTATAATTCTAGTTTGTGAATTTTTACGCTAAATCTCTCTCTCTCATACATATATATAAAGGTAAAATGAACTAAAATAAAATGGACAATTGTTTGCGACAGCAAACAATTGTCCATTTTATTTTAGTTCATTTTATCTTACGCTCTTCTAATATATAGAATATTGAGCGCTCTTTTATCCAGGAATATTATCCATAATAATTATATATAAAGGTATATACAGTGAAGTTTGGTATACTTCATATAAAAATTTTGTTGTTAATAAAGATTGCCCAATACTAGAACAAACATATATTTATAATTAAAGTGATTGCAATTCTAACTTTTTTTATAATCATATATAGTTCATTTATTTATAGCGTAGAATACCAAATGGTAAACACGATCAATTCGTAGTTCAACTTTTCAAAAGCGTAAAAAATAGTAACAATGAATGGTGGCGAACTTCTCTACTGTGCTTAGTGATTTCTAACGACTAATAATCAACTATACTTCGAAAAACACAAAAAAATTAAGCTTCAAACATACCAATTTTATAGAAAGAAATGGATTGATGGTGTGGAGTTGTGCCAACTATCTACTAAGCCTTTGGCAGTCTAGACTCGTTGTTAATAACCTGGATGCCTTCACATATATAGAGGTACAGTAGCTAAAACAACCATTTATATAGATACTAGCTAGATACGGGTGGTTATATCATGTGAAGTTTTTACAGCATCACAATTTCAAAGAAATTTTACGTAATCCGTTCCGTCCCATGACGCCACCACAATAAAAATACTCCATTCTTGAAAGAGTGTTTACTTGCATTACTTAAAGGGATATCAACAAACCTGTTTAATCGACAATAATTTTAATAAACAGTGTGTCATCCTTAATATAATGACGATTTTTCAAACTTTCCAATGGCATGAAAAGTGGAGATCCGGAAGCGATATTCATTTCAGACTTTGGTCGCTGAAACGAGGAGCTTTGAGGATCTGAATGAAAAGCATCAATCATGTGATCACCATTTCCTTGATCCATTAACATCATTGTGATCTTTTTCTGAAACGGCCATGCTTGAAGTGCATCGTAATCACCTAGAAAAATAAGCAGAAACAAAAATATATGTGTTAACTTGTTTGGTATGCACAACCATAGCTTAATTCACCCCATACTAAATTATATAAAGAAGCAAAGTTTCAAACAAAACTAGAACACAAACGCCAGTCAACTTGGAGTTACATAATATACAAAATGCTAAAACTAGTTTTACCTTTCATGACAACAAAGAACAAAGATAAATGAGTTCCTTTTCCAAAACCATCACCATTCATATAGATCTTAGCACACATCTTGTAACCATATTGAGAACTGTAGAATGGTGGACTGTATAAGGCTGTTTTGATACCATTAATGGCGTCCTGTCTTTTTCTATTGTAGTTATCTATTTTCCAAAGTAACGTACCATTGTAGCTGTGTATTACCTGATTAGATCCTAGTGCCCGGGAAACACGTTGCGCCTCAAGATCCGTAATCTTCACGGTTTTTCGAGTAAGTGATTCGTCTATCTGATCTAGACGCTCGCGAAACCTTGATAGAGTGGACGAATTATCTCTCGCTTGTCTCTCCCTCGCTGAGATCCTATCGCGCATCGAGGAAACCTCTAATGACGAGTGGGTATTTTTACTATCGTTACCATCACGAACCTCAAGAATTTCAGTCTTCTTTTCCAGTTCTGAAAGTTTACCCACTAAAATAACAAATTTTTCTGAAAGATTAGCACGAACAGCAGTAACTTGGTCCACCAAGTTTTGAACAGCAGTAGTAAACTCTGGACGTGGTACATAGTTACTTAACTGTGTAACAAATGCCATAACATATCGTAATAGAAGGCTCACATGATCAATTAAATTGTCATTCATATGTTGACGGATCTCCTTTCGTTTCAGCAGCTATGAAAGAAATTCTATTATGTTTGCATACGCAATCTTTCTCAAAAAATTCATATGATTTAGGTTTTGAGTGAATCTGTAGTTGAAGACAGTCACAGCGACCCTGTGCCTTTGATGACATGAATTGCAAACAGTTAAAATATTCTTACTTTATCATAGCTGCAACCAATAGCTTTAAATTCACATTTCGTCGGCACTTCATCACAAGTTGTTTCTTCATGTTGTTTACTATCCTTCCTTGGTATCTTCTTCTGACAAAATTTACAAACCACAGGTGCATTTTCACAAACATTGTCTATGTGATTCTATATGTAAAATGAATGTACAAAGCAACGACAATTAGAAAATGACAACTTGAAAGATGGCAAAGAAGAATTAGTGCCATCTGACAGGCTGAAGCAATGTCGTCGCATGTATATGAAAGAAAAGGTTACATTCTATAGACATTATACTCATGTATATGAAAAGGCTAAATTTTCATTTCGTTTTTTCAGTTCAAGTACGATGTAAATATAATTTTTCAAATCTCTCTGTGTTCCATTAATCTATGTTCAAATATTCCTCGTACCTTAAGTGAAGCATACGGGACATCTTTACCACAATATTCACATTTCACATTTCGATATTCACATTCATTCTTCAAATGTTCACCAAGGAGAGAGCGAGGTAACTGAATGTTACACTGCTTATGTATACAGTTGATGAGCGCATGCTCACAAACTTGAGAATGACTCTGACGAAAAATAAAAACTTAATAAGTAGTTATGCAGCACTTTCATGGTACATTCCTGAACTCACTTCCAACTCTTCATATGTGCCAAACCATTTGCACTGTTCGTAGGGACAATGTAAACGAATCTTTTTCAACTCACGCTTTGTAAAAGTATCCGGGAAAATCTATATAGGTTCAATTGAAATTCAAGGCTGTTAAAGTGCTTACATCAGAGTCAAGGAAATATAACTTTTTAAATAGTTAAATCGATTTCAAGAACATTTGCAGTATATTTGATAGTCGAAAATTTTATCTTAAATGGGTATTTTTTTCATAGAAGTAGACGACTAAGCACCGGAAGTGACGTATGTAGGAGAACACAGTCGCATCGTAAAGTGGAAAGTTGTTTCCGTATTAAGTCATTTTCCGGAACTTGATATACGCGCTTTAACGGTTGGTGCAACAATTACTGATCAGTTGACGAAACAGACGTTGAGAATGGTTGTATTATGTAATAATACCAAATTTTTGTGCAAGGCTTTCTCAATCAGTGATTGATGTATTGCAGTATGGACATTTTCTGTCAGAACTTTAAAATATTTTCACCTACCTCATTTCTGCACAATTTTTCTTGATCTTCAGGACATTTCGGATCAGGATTTCTACAGATTGTAAAAACTTTAAAAAAGATGCGATGAGCGTGGAATAGAGGTCATTTTAAGGCACGCAAATCACAATGTTCAGAGCTAGGACTGTTTTATCTTAACGACAATGATAAGCATGAATTTAGGATCCTCAAAAATTCTTCTCTTGCATTACAATTATAACATAATGAAAACAAGCAATAAGCGTAGAGCACATTCGGATGGGTGCAACTAAGATGGAATGTCATCTTGGGTTAAAAATGCAACATCGTTGGAAATTTATCATGCAGTGGAATATGAGATACCACAATTTGAAATGGAATATCATTTTATTATGCCAGACAGCACGTTGGATTATGCAATACTCAGTGGCGTAGCTAGCGAAAAACATTTGGTCGGGGTCACGAGGCGCCACCATGGTTGTAAGCATGGCTGAAAACCGTAGGTCTTCCAGGTCTTGTAAGCACCCATGTGCGATTTTGCCTTCTCATGCTTCTTACAATCGGATAGGAAATTCTTCATGTTTTTGAATCCCGTCTGCGTCCATGAAGATGACGATCCAGGGCAAAACAAAAGACAAGGCCAACAGAAAAATGAATTCTTTTCTGAGCTACCACAAAGCCAATCTTTCTTCGAGTACCAACTTTCCTGAAAGCTTCTATTGCCTGTAGTCGCTTGTAAATTTGGAATTGGCCGCTGCTTTACGAGTATATTTTGCTCGCCTGAATGTCGAACAGAAAATGGTTTCTTTTGTATTTCACTTATTATATCGATTTCATTAGCCGAAGCCATTGTAATGTAAGTTATCACGATTTCCGAACGTATATTTCGAAAGCTCAAAACTCAAGTCACGCTTTTGAAAATGAGCCCGACTAGATGTTGTTAAACGTTTGAGTGTGTTCACAGCTACTCTCAACCAATCAGATTACAGATATTCCCACTATAGATTTTACTACTTGGTCGGGCTGAATTTTCAGAGCCCGACTAGATGTTGCGAAACAGCGCATTTGTGTTTGCTTGGTTGCTGTCATCCAATCAGATTGCAGATAATCACACTATAGATTTTACTACTTGGTCGGGCTTAATTTTCAGAGCCCGATTAAACTGCGTAATGCCTGGCACAAGAAATGCACTAGTCATTGTTGCTAAGTAACGCTTAAAAATATGATAATTTTGCTAATAGCGACGCAATTTGACAAATATTACACTAATAGACTGCGGATTATTCCACAAAAAGTCGCAGAATTTAAAATTTTCGCAAATCTAATTTTAAAGAAAACAAATTTTTCATTTTTGGGAAAATATTTGGTCGGGCTGGGCCCGACCAGCCAGACCGCTAGCTACGCCACTGGCAATACTAAATTTAAATGCGAAATGTTTTGAACATAAATTATCACATTGGAAAAACGTAATACTGTATAAGATATTTAACGACCGTATTCAATATTGTTATACGTTTTAATAATATCAATCAATTCAGTTACAACAGTCACAATTGTCGCAACAATAAATCGCCTTACCCAAGCAGGATCTCTATACAAGATTCACAAAACAAATGTCCACACAAGGTCTGCATTGGATTGAAGAGGAGTAGATGGCAGTGGGTACAAATATACTTTGCATGGAGAGTTTCTTGGTCTTTATTGCGTATCTTTGTTCCCGGCATATTGAATGATGGCAAATCTTTTACACTACAATGAAAATATTGTCAAAATTAATATAGTTTCACACAATTGCAGAAATATTGGAGTGTGAAAAAAACCAATATTCTTAAATTTAGCTGACTGAGAACAAGCAGGCTGCAGCGAATGAATGTTGATACAAGTTGATATAAATGCTTTCTTGTTGCACTGCATTTTATGCTTCATCACTTTTTTATTATAACACACCATTCATGATCCCAAATCAGATCCAATTTCCATAATGATAACCATCCAAAAAGTTTTGGGGAACTGACAGAATTTAAAATCAACAGTATATCATATGACAAGCCTTTGATAAATTTGGGGGTTCCCCATTTTTTTCTAATATGTTTGCGCAATAAGAACTCCGTCTAAAATAGCCTGGAATTGTCTATTTTCCACGCTAATCACCCTTCTAAACACAGTTTTGACAGTTTCCATGTACATTCCAATGTTTCTATATGTACAAATCGCATTTCGCCAGCAAAGTCGGATGAAATGAATATAACAATTATAGCCAATGGGGTACAACTATGGGATGAGCTGTTGTACTTTATTTTGCTTAACAAAGCATCCGCCATTGCTAAAACACAACCGTAATACCCAACTACATTATCTGTTGCCTAAATCTTTAAGTCACAAGACATCCACACAATCATCTTGATAAGTTTATTTAAAAAGTGAAACAGAAACATCACAGGAACATATGTTTTAACAATTTCAAGGAAAATTTGCTATTCTTAACAGGTGTATGTCTTAAATCAGAAATAAGCGATATCTGACGCAATGATTAAGCAGCCTTTTAACTCAAAATATCCTCAATAAATAAAAGAACTTTGTATAGAAAGCAAAACAGGAACATTAAGTTCACAAGTTCCTGGTAGAAATATGCATTTTGCTCTTCCCACACAGAGCTACAAGGAGAATACTTATTGCCATGCACAGGGATTCCCCTAATATATATGAAAGTCAAACAAAGGCAATTTACACAATAATGCTCAAAATAACAATATCAAAGGTAGAAAAAATCTGCCATCATCCTGACTTTATATTACATCTCGACTTTAAGCAATCGAGCACCGTCTTCATTTATAATAACAAAATAACTGACATTCATAAATAAGCAGCTATATTAACACTAAAAAATACTCTTTCGATAAATTCCAATGGCTTTGTCAAATTTCTTGTTGATATCAAACATAACATCGACATTTCACGCGGTAATAGCAAAATCTATACCTTGATTATTCAGGCTGAGAAATGGCTCTCACAAAGCTTGCAACATATACACATGCCAATTTTAAAGCATTAAAATTAAAAAAAAACCTAAAAATGATTTTACCTTTCATGACAACAAAGAACAAAGATAAATGAGTTCCTTTTCCAAAACCATCACCATTCATATAGATCTTAGCACACATCTTGTAACCATATTGAGAACTGTAGAATGGTGGACTGTACAAGGCTGTTTTGATGCCATTAATGGCGTCCTGTCTCTTCTTCTTGATGTTATCTACCATCCAAAGTGATGTGCCATTGTAGCTGTGTATGGCCTGGTTAGATCCTAGTGCACACGATCCACGTTGCACTTCTAGGTCCGTAATCTTAACCGTGTTTCTCGCGAGTGACTCGTCAATTTCGTCTAAGCTCTCACGAAATCGTAGAATAGTTGAGGAATTATCTTTCACTTGTTGCTCGAGAGTCGCTATCCTTTCAACCATGGAGGAAACATCTAGAGACTGGGTGTTATTATCATTGCTATCACAAGGGCTCCCTAGACTTTCAATACTCCTTTCAAGATCTGTAAGTTTACCTACCAGCATCAAAAATTTTTCTGAAAGATTAGCACGAACAGCAGTAACTTGGTCAGCCATGTTTAGAACAGCAGTAGTAAGCTCTGGACGTGATACGTAGTTACTTAACTGTTTAACAAATGCCATAACATGACGTAACAAGGCGCTCACATGATCAATTAGATTTTCATTCATATGTTGTTGGCTCTCCTTTCGTTTCATCAGCTATAAAAGAAAGACTATTATGTTTGCATACATAATCTTTTTCAAAAAACTCATATGAATTAAGTTTTGACTGTATCTGTAGTTGAAGACAGTCACAGCGACCCTGTGCCGTTGACGACATGAATTGCAAGCAGTTCAAATATTCTTACTTTATCATAGTTACATCCAATAGCTTGAAATTCACATTTCGTCGGCACTTCATCACAAGTCGTACTTTCATAATGTTCATTATCTTTTCTTGGTATGTTCTTCTTACAATATTTACAAACCACGGGTGCATTTTCACAAACACTGTCTATGTGGTCCTATATGTTAATGGGAGTATAAAACAACAACAAGTCTGTAGGTATAATGTGCGGTCTAATAGTTTAAGCATGGATGGGATGTTGACGAAAAAACAAACAACACCAAATTTCTAGATAAAATATCTGAATGGTTAAACTGTTTACCATAAATCCCAAATCCAGATGTAAGGTGAACAGTTCAAATTTCGTGCCGTTTATCGATAATTTGAGGGGTGGGAGCTCATACGAATGCTTTAATCCGGAGAATACAATAGATTTAAAGAAACTTAATACGGCATATCATGCACATATAAATACAAGACTCTTCAATTATTGATTGTACTGCAGCCCTTACGCAATGCTTCACATCTTGCAGTGCTCTCCTTTGATCTGTGTGCAAATACTCCGCATACCTTAAGTGAAGCATACGGGCATCTTTACCACAATATTCACATTTTACATTTCGATATTCACATTCATTCTTCAAATGATCATTAAAGAGAGAGCGGGGTAACTGAATGTTACACTGCTTGTAAATACAGCTGATGAGCGCATGCTAACAAACTTCAGAATGGTCCTAACGCAAAAGAAATTTTAATAAATAAAAATTTTACATTTTCTACATAACTTCCTCTACTCACTTCCAAATCTTTGTAGATACCAAACCATTTGCACTTTTCAAAAGGACAATAAATAACAATGAAATTGAAATTTAAGTACTAAATGAAATTTCTCGCCAAAACTTTATAAGAATATTTTTTCACTTACGTTAGTTTTTATTAATTTTTCTTCATCTTCTGGACATTTTGAATCTGGAGATCTACCAATTGAATGAATAAAAAAACTTTGAAAATACAATGAATATGAATCAGGGTATGCGATACCGATGGGGGTATGTGACACCACATCAGGATAAATTTTCCACATAGGGATATGTGACACAACATCAGGAGAAATATCTTACATAGGGATATGTAGCACTACATAGAGATATATGACACCACATAAGGATATGTGACACCACATAGGGATATGTAGCACTACATAGAGATATATGACACCACATAAGGATATGTGACACAACATAGGGATATGTGCCCCACATCGGGATAAATGTTCCACATAGGGATATGTGAAACAACATCCGGATAAATGTCTTACATAGGGATGTGTGAAACTACATAGAGATATATGACACCACATAGGGATATGTGACACTTCATAGGGATATGTGCCACCACGTCAGGATAAATGCTCCACATAGAGATATGTGACTCAATATTGTGTTACTTATACGAGTTTGTCAATGTCGTCGCCCGTGTCTCATGTCCTGTGTTTCAATGAACTCTTATGTGTCACTTAAACACGTTTTTTAGTTAACTTCAACAATTAAATAAGTTGTTGTTCCTATTCCAAGGAACGCAACAGTTTCTAACAAAATACAACTCTTACTTATCATTTAGAAAAAAATTTTCTTACCCAAGAAGAATATCGATACAAGATTTACAAAACAAATGTCCACACATTGTTTGCATTGGATTGACAAGAAGCAAGTGACAGTAAGTACAAATATATTTTGCGTCGATTTTTTGTAGATTTTCATTACGGATCTTTATACCAGGCATCTTCAATAACTACAAATCTCTTCACACTGCAGTTATAAATAAATCATTATCAATCATTATTAGTAGAAACTGTAGTTGAACCTTACAAGGTTACACATTGTTAAGCGATTATGTGGCATTATCCGGGAAATTTCATAATATAAATATTATTTATGGGATCTTTATTGCACAGTCACCACTATTTAGCAGACGCAATCGCATTTTCCAAGATCCCAAACTAAAGTTTACATTATTTTGAAACTGTATTGAACGGTTAGGTAAAATAACAAGCAACGTAATACACATTATATAACTAAAAAATTGTTCCGAAACATTTCAAACTCTTTATGTTTGAGCTGTCTTCAACAACAAACAAAAATTCACGTCTGGGTTTCATCAGAAAGTTGAAGCTCCAAAAATTTAAGACAGATATCGGGCTGTCGAACTTGTACAAAGCTTGGAATTCCCCGCTAAAAATGTATACATCCGCTGTATGTGAATTAAAGCAGGCACACTAATCGATCTTGCACTATTTGTAAAAGCATAAAGAAATACTTGCTCTTTTTCTCGTTTATTTGGATCTAAATTAAGCCAAATTTAATGACTTCTTCCTTTAATAATGTGAAAATAAGCCTCAACAAATTTATGACTACAAGAGAAAACGAATTCTCCAGGCGCAAATAATATTAAGATTTTGCACATCAGCAGAATTACTCGATTGCTATTTATGAAAACTCCATAATTTATAAATAAAAAGCATTTTCTCTTAAAAAACCTTCAGAATTTTCAGGAGCAGTCGTTCTAGTAAAAAGATAGTTTACCACTAAAGACTGCAGCCCGTTTTCATTAGATTAAAACAAAAGGATAAGTTCTAAAGGCATCCTTACTTTCACATGCTGCAATACGCACTTGTTTAAATCATTTTTTGCTCGCCATTCATATCTTTACCATCTCAAATCACATCTAATTTTTTGATTCATCAAAAAGTGCATGCGTTGACTTTACTGCGTCCATTAACTTTTGAGCATAGCTTTATGTTGCGAACGTTTTTATACAATTTAGTGGAATGGAATGTTCGGGGGTTCCCCACATATTTACAATATCAATTTAAGCAAGACAATACACACTTCGCATGAAGTAAACATTATTTAGTTTAAACGTTTCGACAAGTGTTATCAGGCTTAGGATTTGCAATTACTAATTTGCAGTTTTATCTACGTATGTTGACATATAGAGTATAGAGAAATCACGAATTCGTGTTTGAAACATAGACACACTGATTAAACTATCCTTACCTTAAATGATTTCTTCACCATTTTAAGACGTTTTTCTGATTTTTAGATCTACCACTGGCTTCAGCGGTTTTCTATTTATACAAAATGTGTACAATTAGCACATATGCACATTTTTTTGTTTGTGCATGCTCCCATATAAACCGATGAAACATTTTCCCTTTGTCATTTATACTTGATCTATTCTATAAAACTATCAAAAATGCCTCTCAAAATTTAAATCCTCCTATGGTAACTAGTCTGAGTAATATACAATATTCTTGACTTGCAATTCAGCCATGTTAGTGCTATAATACAAAAGAATATTTTAACAGTGTTATTGTTGGCATCAGCCGACGAGGGCGTGCAACATTGTTTGATAAATCTAAAGAAAATGGTTTCACGTCAAGAATATGTCACAGCACCTCCAGTAGCGGTGAATTTGCTCTTCTTGCTGTTTATGTTTTCTTCGTATGCAGTCTATGTCATGGCGCCATGTTGGATGATCTTATCACTGCATTTTCCATTTTTCCTTATATACAATGCAGATGATGGCAAAAATTCCATTGTTCTCTCACTCCCAAGAGAGTAACAGCACACATCTATACTATTCATACTTCATAAAAATAAGGTGTGCACTATGATTCAAAATACGTGGCACACTTGATAGTGATATTTGGCATGATTTGATGAAACTATTCGAATATAATCTTTTAATTTGTATAACGCAATTGCTCATTATCAACATCAAATAATTTATTTTTTGAGGTTTGTCTTTAAACATAAGCAAGCTACAAGTAGACAATTAAAATTGCAGCATTTTCTAAGATGTTAGTTAATATTCAAGTGCAAAGCTGTGTCCAGTGTCCCAGTCTGTAATAGATACCAGTACTAAACCAAACAGGAACGACTTATATTTGCATAATGGATAGTATAACTTCGGTATATTTATGATATGAGCTAGCAAATGCTGGAAAGTTATGTGCGTTCTAGACCACCAGTTCGTACACAGGTTGTGTGCATGGGCTGTCATTATGGGGAATATAACAGCCTTCGTGGTAAAGTCTTCAGAGCAATTGCCTATTCGGGGAAAGTCAGAATATGAAAATGTTGTAATTGGGTATTAAGTTCAATAAGGTTAGAAGAATTTTTCATCGTTGAATTTTCTTTGCAAATTTTTAAGCAACAGAGTCGTTTTACTTACTTTAGCCTTGATTTTCGGTCGATTTTTAAAAACTTGCGTAAAATTTAGACTAAACATACTCTGAAAGATTGTCTCCCTGTGAATATATTACATGTGAGCTGCTAAAGCTATTTTCCATTTATGTTTATCCTTAATGCAATGGTAGTGAGTCTCACTTGGCTATAAAGAGCATTACATGGATAATTATGCATTTCATGTAGGGATATAAAATGTTCATTTTATTCTCTATATTTTCAAGCTTTATTGAAAAATATACAATGTTCAAAGGTCAAACTTGAACTTTTGGTCAAAAATTTAAACATTTTCCCATTTTGAGCCTCAATTTATCTTTTGATAAACAAACGAATATAACTTACATCAAAAATTGTGTTCAGATTTTTTACTTCAATGTTTCTAATATGGAAAAGTAACTTTTTGCGCTTGGTAGAATGGCTTGGAGAATGGATCATATGCACAGTTTCTAGGTAAGGCCTTGATCATGACAAAATCATTTTATATTCATTTAATAATATCCTGTAACTCAAACATTCATCAATAAAAGAAAATAGAAACAGAATTACTTCTTATGCTTTTATTGATTCCATATAAAAGATATATTGAACAAAAAGGATATATTAAGATACAAGAATATTTTAAAATTGAAGAAAAATAACTACCTTAATGGCGCAGTTCCAAAAATATCATTCATTTAAAAAAAATGCTAGCATTAATCAATTTACCCGTTTGCTATTGAATTTCACTATTCTTAAAAACATTTTGAAGCCTTAAAAAAATTTGATACATATACTTGCTTATTCAACAAGAGATACTCTTACTCAAGAAATCTGTCACTATAAAGAGAAATCATTCTGATCATCGAATAATGCCATAACGCACTCTAAACGTCACCCACTAAATGTCTTTGCAGGCATTTTAAATGTGAATTATGTACAAAGCACAAACCATCATCACCTAACAACAGGAATGATGCCACACTGTTACAGTCGACAAACATACCATTGGCAATTTGAAGCACTGTTGACTGATTAGTACTTTTATAAAACAAGAATAATGAAGAAAACACCAAGAAAATAAGATAAATGTCGTAGCTACCTACATCATTTAACCAAACTTCGCAGGCATTTAATACAAACACACACACACACACATCATATGTATTGCAGTTTAAGGGAAAACATCAATTTCCATTTGGAAACATCGCAAGCTTATAATCACCACAATGTACATTTACACAGCCACTTTGAGCTCACGAACAGAACTCTGTTTTAAACGTCAAACTTTACATGCACCAAACGCATTAAAAACAAAAGAAAATGAGACAAAGTTCCTTATTATCTTTTGTTTTAAATGCGTTTGGTCCATGTAAATTCGACGTTTGAACCAGGACTAAAAAACAGAATTACTCTTCACAAAGTCGCAATTTTTTCACCTCAAATACCATGCACCATACAGCCACTGGCGTCAATCGAACGTTATATAAAAGGGGATATTTCACATATTCTGTTAAGCTAGGCTGAATTCATTTTAAAGTGAAATCATTTTCAAAAAAATTAACCATGCAATGACAGAATATATGAATATTGTCACCATGTCCCCAACTAACGTTCGACTGACGACAATGTATACAGCACAAAGTGTGGAAAAAAACCAATTTCCAACCTTTTCAGTCATCAATCACCTTAATAAGCAGTGGGTAATCTTTAATATACTGACAATATCTCAAACTTTCTAATGGCATGAAGATGAACTTCCCAATGGTGATCGAGAAGCAATCTTTATATATGACTTTGGTTGCTAAAATGAGGATCTTTGGGAATCTAAATGAAAAGCATCAATAAAGTAATCACCATTTCCTTCATCATTAACATCATCATTAACATCATCATTTTGGAATTATAAAACATATGTGTATTAGATGCTTGTACTTTATTCTATTTAAAAAGGCCTTTTTTGACCATTAACTGATTTGTCAATCTAATCTAAACACTTGCAAAACCGTTCTATAGTGGCTAAATTCTCTCTCGTTTCTCCAAAATTGCAAATTTATCGCAATCAAGGAAACTTCTACGGACAACTGGGCGCATTCACAGTTCACTATTGCTATTACCGCGACCCTCAAGGCTCTCCATCCTGTCATTCATATGTTCTGGAGCATCTTCTTCTATTGAGGTCTGTGAAAGACAAAGATAAAGAAGGAATATTTTTTAAGGAAAGTATTTAGGAAATTATTTATCATCGATAAGCATTGTTCATTAGCAAATATATTCTAACTACAGTTGGATTTTACGAAAAATTTCGTGTCTCAAGGATAAGGTCTGTTTCCAAATCAACAAAATAAACATGCTTTTAACTGATTATTTCAAACCTCTTTGAAAGCTTTACCATCTAGTAGCATCGCTTAAATTGCGAAATTAAGACAAAAAATTGCATTTCTTTGATCAGACGATTGGGCTGAGTGATACCACCTTTATGACAATAAAACTGTAAACAATAAAACTGTATCATTCAATACCGTTACTTGCACCTACATTGGTGTTCAGAATATCTAGATGTTGATATTGTTCAACTCTGATACTCGTCTTCATATAAAAAAATGCAAGTGCAAGTTTATTTAATGTAGAATTACGATGCAGAATTATAACCCGATCATTTTTAACATATTTTTCTTTTTTTCTTGTAAGTTAGTAACTTTTAACAATTTCATATCTCACACGTACCATTACATCATGTTTATACTCAACAATTATCATTTTTTGTTTTAAAAAAATAAAAAGAAAAGATATAGCCGAGATAACAAACTAATGCTAAAAGCAGACCATACAGGGAAGTTTATTATTATCTACACACTTCATTTACAAACTCCCTATAACGTTGCCCGATCAATAGTTGAGGTTGAACTTTTCATTAATTAGTCTAAATATTCTCACGTGAATTTTGCGGCAAAACTTGTTCAGGTGGTCTTCAATATTCAAATTCTATCTTTGCAATATGGACAGACCACGGGGGCATTTTCACATGTACTTCCTATGTGGCCCTTTACGTTCCAAAAGAAATTAAATAGCAGTAATATTTATAATGAAGACGTTCATGAAAAACACATTCTCGTTAACTAGAAAAGGACACTAAAAATAGAAAAGATAGAAAACAGTACTTTTTTGAAAATTTCTCAGCGCAACTTACCTTTAATTCTTGATAGGGGCCAAGCCATTTGCACTTTTCATTGGGACAATGTAAAACAATACAATTCAACTCCTGCTTTATGTCATCATTTGGAAAAATCTGTATAAGTTCATAGAAATCAAACTTTTTTTAATTTAACTGTATTTTAGTAAACGAAACGGATGTTGAACGTGCATAGGTTTCCATCGTGCTCATGAATTCAATGAAGTTTTTCTTTTCAAACAATTTGAAGCCGACTGATAAGAGCAATGTGAAACAGTTTTTATCAAAATTTTGTCCTATTCCATTGAAACATTTCACTTACATTGTTTCTGTTCAAATGTTCTTCATCTTCAGTACATTTTGGATTAGGACATCTGCAGATTGATCAAATATGAAAACTTGTTACAATTTTTAGTGGATTAATTTTGCTTAAACAACTTCATGAAAAATAATTATAGAGCTACAAAAATATCGGTTTATATGGTTTTATTTGAAAAGCATAATTGAAGTAAAAAATGAACGACATTTTTAACGTAGGCACCACAATGGGATCTAGATAATGTCTAGATAATGAAAAAAAGTTGGATTATATGAAGACACAAGGAGACAAATGAAAGCACACATAACAATTACTGTACACTTGATTGGCCAATTTAATTTGCATTGTTATCCAGACACTACTTCTAAATATAAGATTAGACAAAAATTTCCTTACCCAAAAAGAATCTCGATACAAGATTGACAAAATAAATGTTCACAAGACGTTTGAATTGGATTGACAAGAAGATCATCACAGTAAGTACATATATACTTAGAGTGGATATTTTTCCTATCTTCATCTCGAATCTCGTTTCCTACCATTGTTGACTAGAATCAATTTTATCTAGTTTAAAATAAACCATTAATCCCTTATCATCTAGTTAACTAGCATTTATCTAACTGATACAAAATTGCTCTAATTGCTTGATGAAAATGACATGAAAATAAAAAAATTTTTTGAGAAAATCAATGATTGGAAATAAGGTATAGTAGCAAGATTAATTCTTACCAAAAGTATTTAAAACATGTCTAAAATCATAAAGCAAATGCCATACTCTGGGAGAGAGAGAGCGGGGGCTCTCCTAATTGATGGAACGAACAGTCAAGTAATCAAAACATCCGAGCAACGAATTCATTTGTTAAAGTAAAATTTTATGAGCTTTGATAATTAAAATACAAAACAAAATCCAAATACTTCCATAGCCGATATTCAAAGAAACGTCTATTTTACCCTTGAAGCCTAATTCACAATTGTCCTTAGAATGATACTTCTAAAAATAAAATTAAGTGCTTATAATATGCAGGCAAGTTGAATCGTCGGTTGTGCACTCACTATTTATAAAAGGTATTAATTTAAATAATGAAAATACGAAACTTCCATTAATTGACTGTTTCAATTTACATTCAAAGACACGAATGTAAAGAGTGGAATTTTGATCAAAATAATGAAAATGAAGACCAACTATTGTCCAATTTATGTAAAGTAAATCAAGATTTTAACATCGCCATACTTACAAAACCACATCGCAATGCAACTAAATTGCTAAAAGAAATAGACACCAGGAATAGCGGATATAAATTCACAAACTAAAATTGAAATTAATCATTTCATTTCCTTAGAAATTTATCATTATCTAAACAATAAACAAATGCCAAGGGTGCTACGCAACATTATTCCGCATCAAAATTATGATGCAAAAGGGCTGGAGACTATGAAATATGAGTCGACTTCTTGGGCAATAACACATAATGAAAGTGAAAGAACCACATTGTGATGAAATCCGATAAAACACGAGTGCATCTCGTGAATTTGAAACCAGCTGTGTGGATCTGTCTGTATGTCAACCCATTGGTTCAAATATACAAACAGATCAGAAATTTCAATAAAATCTACGTATTGTAAATGTAAATACTCGTATTGTAAATGTAAATACTTTCCTAAGTCAGAAAACTTCGAATGGTGTGACTCGATCCTATACAATTTTCATACAACTGCGAAGATTAACTTTCAAAGGACGCTTTCTTATTTATGCCCATCAAGCATTTGTTGAGTACCCCACCTATCTACCATTTCCTTTTATCAGGGTTGATGTACATAAAAAGAAATTGTTTAAAAAGTCAAATTAAAAACAGCTCAAGATTGCAATTCAAAGATTCAAAAAATCGTGATTGATAACATTATCGGAGACAGTTATATGCCAACGACATGACACTTTATACATGTCCTTAGTTAATCAAATGTACGTTCATTTTGACAAAGAAATCTTAACTTCACAGTTACTTAACTATAAGTACAAGCATATATTACGATTGCTTGTGCAGCGGTGCAAGGTGCGATTTAAAATTCTACTGATTCCTAGCAAGTGCTACTTGACTTCCGTTCTACTTCTAAATACTTCACAAGATCATTGTCTATAAATTGTTTAAGTTAAGCAATCGCAAATTTTATACGTATGTTTTTTTTCCGATATGTGATGTCGATATACATGTTCCCACCAGGGATGTACTTATGTTCAACCCATACACTCGCTTTACGTTAGTATAAAATCGTATTCAACGACACTAAAACGACACTTTCATTAGGGAGGCATGACAGCGACCTAACATCTGCTACAAGCACTTCAGGATGTATGGAAGTTTGAGATACGCACCAGTGATATGTATATTAGACTGGATAACGCATTTTTTGCGAAAATTGAAGCCGGAAGATCGATCATTTGCTACTGGCTTCATGGGGGCTATCGGTCCCACTTTACTATACTTTTGTATTACAAAATCACAGTTTTCGCATTTGCATTCCTTTTACAAACTTCTGATTAAAGAAAAATTCTTCTCACATGTAGAGAAAAACCGGCAGAGAGTTTTAACCCTAAAGGTCTTTTTTCTTGGCTTTGTAACGACTGAAAAATAAGATGGCAAGTTGTATTGAAATTTGAAAGTTGAAGGTGACGAGGACAATTTCACCGTGCTAAGCATTTTTAGAAGATGAATATTTAAATTATAAATTTACAACAAAGTAAGAACAAAGGTATTCATATCTTCAACACATTCATCGATATTGAAGTTGTCCACAAAGGAACTGGTTGAAAACTTTGCTTCGCTTAATGACAACAGAGGTACTTTGATTCGCATAATTTGATGATGTACATCTCGTAGAGTTTGATGATACCGTTTGTTAACTGAATGTTACACTGCTTGTGTATACAGTTAATGAGCGCATGCTCACAAACTTGAAAATGCTCTTCAAACTTGTTAAGTTACGTCGGTTTGCACCATGTTCAGATATTCGTCTTCCTTAGAATTTTTTAACGCGCTTTCCTAAAAGATTTCGACCACGAAGCTCTTACCTATTGATGTAAAAGTTTTATCAAATATTTATTAAATCTTCCATATACAAACCTAAGGAGGTTTTACACAACACTGCTGGAGTTCAATGCAAAGACTCCTTAAATAATGGGCATACTTATTTACATTTACGTATATTTAAATTTCATAATGAATTCAGTTCATTCACCCTAACAACAAAAAAATTCCTAAACATATATGTAGCTAAATTTTATATAATTGTCCTTAACTAACTCAAGGTAATAGAATGACTTTAATAAATGTTAGTTGATTCGTTCTGTTTTATTTTATTTCAATCATAAGTTAATCGATCTGGTGCTCTTCTTCTTCTTTCCGAACGTCGTAATTGCGACGACTGCTGTTCAGCACTCTCATCATATGAATTTGTTCCTCTCGCTTCTTCCTTTGGCGTAGATATCTCTATCTTTGCGTCTTCTGTGGGACGTATTGTAGTGTCTTGAACTTCTGTTGGAGGGGCAGAAGTTGTTGTACCGTCTTGAAATCATAAGTCTCCTTGAGATGCTAAGTATTTTGTTGATACGGTATCCTCTCTTCCATCAGCGTGTCGAATGTGAGCATATTGAGGGTTTGCTTGTATTAGATGTACTTCGTCCACTAATGGTTCAAACTTTGAATTTCGCACTTGACGTTTTAATAGAACCTTTCCTGGTGTAGCTAACCATGAAGGGACAGACACCCCGCTCGTTGACTTACGTTGAAAAGAAAATAATCGTTCATGAGGAGTAGCGTTTGTAGCCGTACATAACAAAGACCTAATCGAATGGAGTGCATCCAGCATCACCTCTTGCCAGCGGTTAATGGGTAGATTTTTCGATCGTAAAGCGAGGCAAACTGTTTTCCACAACGTTCCATTGAATTTTTCTACTTGGCCATTTCCTGCAGGATTATAACTAGTTGTTCTACTACTTGAAATACCCTTCTGTAAGAGAAAACTCTTTAGTTCAGCACTCATAAATCCTGACCCTCGGTCAGAATGAATGTACGTAGGCATACCAAAAACCGAGAATAATTCTGATAGACAAGCAACAATAGTCCGAGCGCTAACATCTTCACATGGGAACGCAAATGGGAATCTAGAATACTCATCTATGATAGTCAATATATATCGTTTCTTGTCCGTACTAGGCAGCGGACCTTTAAAATCTACGTTCAGTCTTTCAAACGGCTGTGTTGCTTTTATCAGATGTGACTGTGCAGGTCGATAGTATTGGGGTTTACATTCTCGGCAGTCTCTACATGATTCGGTCATGCGCTTAATTTCTTCTATCGAAAATGGTAAATTTCGGCTTTTTACAAAATGACTCATGCGAGATACTCCAGGATGACACAGTGCTTTATGAAGTTCGAAAAGTTTATCCAGTGTAAGCGACATAACCTTCACTCTCGATAAGGTATCCGCTGGTATATTTTCTTCTCCTGTTCTATATACTATGTCAAAATCATACATAGAAAGTTCCAATCTCCACCGCATTATTTTATCGTTCTTAATCTTACCATGACGTTTCAAATTGAACATATAAGCTACTGACCTCTGATCCGTTACTAGTTTGAAATGTTTACCTGTTAGATAATGTTTCCACCTACGAACGGCCTCCACGATAGCAGCTGCCTTTTCTACTGACGAGTGTTTTAGTTCTGAACCATTTAGTGCTCTTGAGAAGAATGCTACTGGTCGTCCTTGTTGATTTAATGTCGCTGAAAGTGCAAATTCTGATGCATCGGTCTCTATTTGGAAAGGATAAGATTCATCAATTGATCCTACTACAGCATTCTCAATATCATTTTTCAGTAAATCAAACGCTTGCAACGCATCATTTGATAATGGAAAAGCTAAATTGTGAGACAAAGGTCTAATTTTAGTTGAAAAATCTTTAATCCATTGGGAGTAATATGAAAACAAACCGATGACACGCTTTTGAGCTTTTGCATCACGTGGGGCTGGCAGCTCCCGCAAAGGTTTTAGTCTCTCCGGATCTGGCTTAATCTCTCCTTGAGATACAACACTTCCGAGTATACTAATTGAAGTTACCGAAAAAACGCACTTGCTTTCATTAAATGTTAGGTTACGCTTCCTCGCTGCTTTCATAAAAAAGTTCCAAATTTTTATCATGATGCTCCTGATTGTAACCGCATATAGTAATATTGTCTAAATACGCGAAAGTATCTTCTAAAGCTTCTTCGGATATGAAAGTATCCATTGATCGTTGAAAGGCCGCCGCTCCATTAGTTACACCAAATGGGATTTTACGGAACTGATAAAGTCGATGGTTAGCTTCAAAAGCCGTGTACTTTCTCTCTTTATTTTTGATAGGTACTTGATGGTATGCACTTTTAAGATCTACAGTGCTAAAGACACTATATTGTGCAACTGCGTTTACTGTATCATCTATTCTTGGCATCGGATAAGCGTCCAACTGAGTAAACTTATTAATTGTTTCAGAGTAATCGATTACTAG